AAACACAATCTTGGCTACGCTCAAGAATTTCTTACTTGTCTACTTGCTACAGCGGCACTCTGATGCGCTGCAACAAGCATATAAACAAAAATCGGCGGAAACAAACAACGTGGGCTAACATTTGGTCAAAAATGTTACCGGGAATGTTCTATGGAATGCATTTTGTGCGGCCCCAGTACGATTAGGGGCTGCATGAAAGAATATGCTATGATTACATACCTGTGTTTATAAAACAAACCAAATCATTATTAGGCACACTAGTGGACACTATTTTAAGCACGCAAACTTATTTTGCCCACATTGTTTGCACGCCACTAATACATACGAGACGTTGGTAGTAAAATTGAAAGTTACGGAAGCAAGTGCTAACTTGCAGTTTACCGCAATTTTCTTTGCTCACTTTTAGACAACTTTAGTGAGTTTTCTTATTAGTTTACTTAATGTACCTTATGCAGTAGTTTACCAATTAGGTCTAGTTTTTGTTGCAGCATTTCAGTGATCAGACAATCTGAAACATTTTCGTTCAGTCGAATATGCTGACACGAGTAAAACATTTCAATTACCCTGCAAGCGCTATATTTGCGCGTTTTCTCACAGCGATATGTTGGCTTATAGTCTGTTTCGTAGGCTATTAGTCATTTTCATAGAAGTGATCTCTAAATGCTGAATGAACGCTACGATGTCAGATCGTCTTTGCGATAAAAAACGTTTTGTATTAGATTTTCCGCACCTATTTAACCGCAAATGAATGAATTGTTGGTATTGCCCGTTCGTAAATTTTAAGCTTTTGGTACACCCCGTTTGCTTTAAATTGCAAGAAACATTTATCGTTCTTTTTTCAAAGCTGCAAACTTATACGGTCCGTTGAATGCTTCCCTCTGTGATATGGTGAGTCACAACTGGTGAATCGTTCCGTAGCTGCAAATGAATTGATGCGGGTTGGTGGCATACCACTTAGTACAAAAATACGAAAATAATAAATGCATATGTTTTCTGTAGTCAGATAGAATATTTAGATTTTAATAAGAGGTATTTTAAGTAAACGTTTAACAACATATTATTCTGACACACTTGCTTATCTTTAAAAGTACACATAGAATGGACCGAAGTCAGGGTAAACGAAAGTATGTTCCCGATAATTCGGCTTCAGTCTTATATATTTAGATTAAAATCAAAAAGTGCAGTCAAACATTACAAGTCGTTAGTGCAAGAGCGTTAATCGCCTGCTGACAATGCTGCCTGTTTAGTCGCATAAACCGACGGCGTGTTTCCTCGCAAGTCAGGGATCACCGGCCGTTTGGAACAGGGTAGTTGCATCCCTTTAGATAACTTCTGCTGTACACCTAGCTTTAGTTCACAGAGCAGGATTGCAATTGTCTCAGCAACACCTAGTATTCGCTTGCGAACTTAGTTTGTTTCGTTCCTCTGAGCCTGCTAGATAATTTTGTAGGAACCATCTGACTTTTAGCTTATGCTTTGTCGGGTAGATGAGCGGCAATTGAAGAGTTGACAGTTTCTCTGTTTCCTGTTCGAAGCCGGATATGGTGGTGTTCCCTTACTCTTTCAGATAGTCGTTTTGTCGTGTGACCAATGTATTCCGTTCCACAGCAGCATGAATCTTAGTAAATAGGTATTGAGTTGGGGTGGGCCGGCCACTAATATTTTGATTACAGTCATGCTATCTGAGTGCTGTTGAACAGGATTTGCATCTGTACTGCTGAGTAGGTGCGTCTTAGTGCAACTTAAAGATGGTGCGATAGTATTTCCGTCGCAACCTCGCAACCTAGGAAGATTGGTTTACGTATTACTGGCAAAACTACAGGCTGCTTCTTCTTATGTGCAAGTTTGTCTCTGATAAAGTTCTCCGAATAGCCAATCCCCTTTAACACTAAATGAATGCACCCAAATGCCTTTGAAATCATGTCTTTGAACAGATACGTTCAGCACGGCACACTACGGTACTATCACGTTCCGTTTGTTTATTGCTCATTCTACATATCTTTCCCATACACGCAACACTGCAGCGCACCTCCAACATGTCCTTTCATAGTGACATCGAAGAAATGAAGGCGACTGTTTTCCTCAACTACGTAGGTGAATTTTATTGCGGGATGGGCATGTTCGAACATGTTGTATAGCTCCTCGATACTTCGACAGGATTAAAGCAAAACACAAACGTTGTCTACGGAACGATAACATAAACTGACCTTACATCGTTGGACTTAACTTCCCCGTTCCAGCATACCCATGAAGATATCAGCGAGGAACGGTCCCATTGTGGAACCTATCGCGACCTCATGGCACGGCCGATATAATTCATCATTGAATAGAAAGTAAACATTGCACATGCATCTGGCGCACGGCGGCCGGTGACCTCTGACCCACGTCACAACACACGGTCTGTGGTCGTGAATAAACAGACAACACTGACAGCATGTAATTAATCCGATCAAGGAGTAAGGGCTTGTAAGGTCTGTCAGCATAAATTTGATTTGCACCTACATGTAGAGGTCTGAGGATGAATGAACCAAAACATAATTTCGCTTAACCTGACTTCTGCCCATACAATGGATTAGATATTTTTATAGGTTTATACTATCCTGAGAAAAACGCGTGATGTTTTAGCTTGCATATTTCTCTTTGAAAAACGTCGTCCAAATTGATTCCATGGGGTGATGATAAGGATTATGACCAGTACTCAGCATTATTGTAAAATGTACTTATGTCAATATTTTAGTTTAGTTTTGTCTCCTGAGAAAATTAAAGTGCATTAGGCTTAAGTCATTAGCCCCGTGATAAACTTAAAAGAACAGTTCCGTTCAGTTCACTTCAGTTCAGATGGGACTGGAACGATAGGAGAATCCTGTGAGTGTTCCATCTTGAGCGGATCGTTGAATCAGGAATCGATGGAGTGTTCAGTTATTGATGGAGCTAAAACGGAACAACCGTATCGCATCCTGGCCAATCAGTTAATGCCCACGTTTCCTGCCCTAGCAGGCCCTACTGTGGCAGTCACGTGACGTAAGCAAGGTATAGGAAGAGAAATCGAAGGTACAGAATAAGGAAGTGCAATTAAATAAGAAAATAACACCAGTGCGTGAAGAAAAGTAGAGAAAAGAAAATTGAAGTACGTAGATGCGAGTTGTTCAGGAAAATGGAAAGGTTTCATGTTGTCACCAAAGAGCGTCAAGTTGCCTCTCAAACCCCTTGGTGAACAATTAGTGACAAAAAGCTAGGCATGTGAAATGAGGTTTTAGGAAATAGGATCGATTATGCCAACCAGATGTGTGTATAAGTGTGTATAATATATAAACAGATCACCTAACCTTTCGTACTATTAACGCTGTAACCTAGAACACAGCAACTAATAAAAGCTTGCATCACAAAGCTGTTATGCATAGTGCATTATCGGCTTTTTCTTAACATAAATGACTACGAGATGCATAGAATAAATAGCAAACAAGTAACCCGTACCTTAACTAGAAAAATTGGCTAATAATCATTATAAACTTTATACTAATCTGGGGCGGCCACTGTTTCCTGCAGTGGTGGAAACCTGCATGTCAGTGAATGATAGGCCTCGCTATATCTCAGTTAGCATGCAATTTCAGGCGGCCTGTCTGCGTTCCCATAGCTTAGTGGTAAATGCCATTGGCTAGTTGCGAAGCTGCTAGCCGTCAGGTTTTCCTTCTCCAGCAGGGGACGGAAAGTATGCGCGCCACTGACGAGCACAAATAAGACGCAACGACCATAGGGGGCTGTTCCGGAGTGAGTTCAAACTAGTCAGCTTGTGAGAGGCTGTGATAAACTAGTAAAATAAAATCTTCTTTAATCGGCTGCTGTTTTGTGGGTTCCCTGTCGGTACGACTATCCGCTGAAAATTTGTTGCACGTCCTTTGGTCCTTTCACGTGCGTCTGTTTGGCGTCTTATTTTGGTCCCGACTAGCCATTGTTTAGAGATAGGAAGTGCGTTCAAAAAATGGCGGGAAAAAGTATTTGTAGTTCATCCAAAATGAAGCGCACTCAAACAACTATACATTCCATGCTGCACACGTGCAAGTACTTAACATCGCAACTACACTGTCTGAAGGAAACGTAACGCACCCACCCAGGAGTTGATGTGTATGGAGTAATGCCGTTAAATTGATCGCATACTTATCGACTGTGGTACACTTTTCGCAAGTACACTAAATAGTAGGCTGCTTTACCTGTCGTATTTAACCGCGTGTCGGAGCATCCCCAGAGATGCGAGCAAGCGCGCATGGAATAAGTGGGACGGTGTCTCTTAGGCGACAACGTCCTTCATAGCAGCCTTTGAATCGTTTAGTAGGTTGCCTGCACTCACGTACATCAAATGGTTTACAGTATCCGAATTTAAACAAGCAGTCTAGCTAAGATTAACCACACGTGCAGACGCAAGCTATGGAGTACAGACATACTTCAAATTTTCGTCAGCAAGCTGGCGCGTGAGGGTGCTTCGTCACAAGAACAGTGCATAACTCGTCAAAACCGGTTTTGTGCCTCAGATATACATAGTTGCTACCAGTGCAAATTTTCACTAGACAATACCCTGGGATTCGCATCAGTGTACGCACATCAGAATGTAGTTGCGAACGCAATCCACGTAACTTGCAAGGTAGGCTGTTAGTTATAGCCACCAGACATGTTAGTCCCAACTGCTACGTCGTAACAGACGTCAGTCACTCTGACTGCCGATCGCGGTTTCTCAAACGTGTGCACACCGCCAGGTGTTTCCTGAAGCGTGTTACGTAGACTCGAAGTGTTTAACGAAAATATTGAGATCAACTCAGGTAGCGAAGTGGAGACGTGAGTAGAAAACGCCGCAGCAAACGCCTGCATTTCAGATTCTAATAAGTACGAATTGGACAATTCATCGCCAACAGTCACCGGGAATTCTGATTTCACTAGGTTTTCTTGTTAAGGTTGACAATCGAAGCTTGTCAATCATCAAGCAAACAGTGAAGCTACTTTCAGCTTACTTTCGGGTTTCAGCCACATAACAGGTAGAGAGAATAGTTTTGTAGCAGCTAACACGGGAAAATTGGAACAAACCTTCCTAGCTTTTAGGTACCCGTACATTCCGCAGTGCGCTTGAGCGACTAAGCCAATTGTAATCTTCTTCCTTGTCGAGGGTTCTTGGTACTTCCATAAGCGACCTGTAGAGTAGGTCAGGTTGGACCTGATGACATGTAATGGAAAACAAAAGGAACGTTGGTGGCCAGAAGTTAAACCCAACGGCCTAGTAAAAAGGAATATAGACGAACAACGTATCGAATGTCTGCCAACAAGATGATACCAAAAGATGGCTGAATACACGAGAGGCAACAAGGCGTAGGTTGAGCAGTTCGCCATTAATGTCACGACAACAAGAAAGGCGCTGGTTTTGCGGGAGTTAAACAATCCTGGCGAGTCACATTACCTTACTCTCTTACTAACCAGCGCTGTGCTCAGCGTCCGCAAGTCTTGGCTTCAGTCTGTTGAAGTGTACAACCGTCGAGGAACCAGGAACGCCCGGCCTCATGATTCGATAAGTTATATCCGACAACACTTCTTCCACAAAGAACAGTAGTGCGCAGTTACGACGGAGCTTCACACGAACGCCTGGTGTTGCTACTGTTGCTTTAAACCCAACCGTATCACCAGGCTTGAGCAGACTCCCGATAGCCTTCCGGTCAAAGCAAGCCTTCTGGAAAAGCTGCGAGGTTTGCAGATGCGCTTGTGCCACTTGGTGTGCTCGCAACAGACGTGAGTGTAACCGAAACCCCTGCTATGAGGCAGTTAGAGTTTCATGGTGTAACCTCGGTAACAACATATCCAAAAGCAGACGCAGCTCAGGATACGTCATCTTGAGATACGGTGTCTGACCGGTCAGTTAGTAGATGGAAGCTGGACAAATCAGTAAGCATTCGGGCAGAGCCATGTCCCATTCTCGAGGGGTCTCGGTACTCAGGCTAGCATGTAATAGCGTCTCCAGTGTACGAGTCGTGCGTTCATCTAATCCGTTTCCCTCTGAGTGGTAAGCAGTCGTGCGTGTCCTCTAGATGCTAAAACTGTAACACTTCTCGCACGTGAGTGTGGTCCCGAAGTTGGATTTTCGAAATGAGTGTAACTGATAGGGTGCTCCCCACCTTGCCACACAATTGCTGAAGAGTTACAGCCACACTCCAAGCGTCTATATTTTGAAGAGGAACTGTTTAACACCATTAGGTAAAGTAGTCAACCATAACAAACAAGTAACGATGGCCCCTAGCAGTTTCTGGCATTGGGCCTACTATGTTGATGCTCACGATCTCGTTAGAAAGCCGGCCGTCATTGTTTGCAGTGGACCGCGACGAGTGGTCGTGAGGTATTTGATTCGTGCGCAACCAGCGCGCGCTTGGCAATAGACAGCGATGTCATGCCGTACATAGGGCTGCCAAAACTGACCTCGAATCGCAGCCCCTATTTTATTCTGTCCTGCGTATCCTAACTCATCGTAAATCCTTCGCATAACTTCCTGCGTTGCAGACGTCGGTACAACAATTCTTCTTAAATAAGCCGACACGTTCTAGAAATACATGATGCCGTCGATCGCCCGTAAATGCGGTCATAGTGACCAGAGGCAGTTGGTTTCCCAACTGGTGCCCGCCTGCTCCTGATGCTTTGGTCGGTCTCTATCCCGCACTATGCGGTCATACAAGAGGCACAGTTCCGGGTCCGTCGACTGTAACCAAAGCTATTCCTCCGTCTTCAAAGCGTCAAGGATGACGGCAGTCAGGCGTGCAGTGGTGCAAGAGGGGCCTGGTCCATTTTTCCTGACAGAGCTTCCTGATAAAGCGACGGCATACCCATGTTTTGTGCCTGGACGGTGTTGGTGCTCAAAGTGGTATTCCTGCAAATGTTCATACCAACAGGCGATCTGACATTCCGGATTCCGGAAGTTTTAAAGCCAGATCAATGAATAATGATCAATACGTACAATGCCCTTGCGACCAAACAGATAGTGCCTGAATGGTTTCATGAAAAACGCCAGCACCAGCATTTCTTTTCGTGTTGTGCATTACTTGAGCGCTCTCTGCGAAAAAGTTCTGCTGGCATAGGCAATAAACTGCTCCATGCCTTCCACCGTGCGTTTTGAGAGTACAGCTTCGATGCCAGTGTCGCTGGTGGCTGTGTCCAGAATGCAGGCGCACGCGAACGGAGGCTTGTCACTGAGTGTTAGAATCGGTGCTTGACGGAGTTCAGTCCGAAGTGGTTCAAATGCTTCTTGATGCGCACATCTCAAAAGAAAGCTTGCTCCACCTTCAGAACTTCGTTCAACGGATTAGTGACGATTCAAGCCGTCGAACGAAGCACCGATAGTAAGAGGCAAGCCTAATTAGGCTACCCACTAGGTCAGCGTTTTTCGGAATCGGCCAAGAGCGGACCCACTCGAACCTCACTGGGTCGCAGCACACTCCTTCTTCAGACATGATGTGATCTAAGTAGGCTAGATCTTCTTTAAGAATGAACGCTTTGAGGTTTTAAGCTTTAACCCTGGCTGCATCAATCGATCCAGTAAGGTAATAAGACCCTGGCTGTGTCCTTTCGTAGTTCTTCAGCGCAGAGAAACTAGACAACGTTTCCGTATCAAATCTGCTGGAGCTGTGTGCTTTAAACGCTAAAAAGTTGCGGATGCGTTAACTAAACAGAACGGCATGGTCTGGAGTTCGTACAGGCCGGACGGAAAAACAAACGCAGACTTACACCTGTCATCAAGGTGTAGATTGACTAGCCAGTAACCTAAGGCTAGTTTCAAGGTAGTAAACCAATCTGAGCCACTGAGGGCGTCCATTGTGCCATCCATCCTCGGTAATGGTAAGGAGTTCTTTCGAGTGGCCAAATTTAGCTTACGATAATCTATACGTAGTCGCAGTTCACGGATTTTCTAGTTAACGAGAACGATGGGCGTTGCCCAAGGTGATTTTGACGGTCGAATAATATCGCGTCACAACAGGCTTTCGATAATACGTTTTAATTCCTCCTGGAACTGGTACGGTACGCAGATGGCAGGTTTGCGAGTTGGTGACTCATCGCTTGTGTGCGGTGCTGTAAGCATTTGCAGCACTCCATATCGTCATCTGACTAAGAGAAAGCACGCCGGTATTTGTTTAAAATTTCCTCCGATTCACTGCCGATAAAATTCGGTAATGCAGCAAAAGCGCTTTGAAGGAGTTGCTGCACCGAGGTCTCTGCTGCCCCACAGGACAGAACCGAGCGCTTCATCGAGACAAACGCTAGCATGTGATTGACGACTACCCAGGTTTTGTCGACCAAATTCATCTTGGCGTTGAACCGGGAAAGGAACTGCACTCCCAACACCACATCCCAAGATAGGTCATCCACTACAAAAATCCGATGTGTTGCTGTCATCTCACCTAGCTTAGTCATTGCTGTGGTCAAAACCAAGGATTTGATAACTGTTCTGTTGGCTGCCACCAGCTTCACAGAGCTGTCTTTGAATACAGTAGCGTCTGCCGGAACTACACGCTTCCGGAAAAAGAACACCTGGTCCCGATATGTATCAGGGTCTTAAAGTGTTTCTTCCTTATCAACCCAGAGAGCAAAGGAATGGCAAGCAGATTTGCGCCGAAAAGGATTTGCACGGTAAACGAACATCTTCATGGCCTACTACGCTGTTTGTGCTCGCCAACCTTATCGGCCTTCTAGGACCTCTGGCTATTCGGGCCTTCTTGTCGCGGATGAAACAGAGGATGATGGTTAATCCGCCGAAATCTGTTATCGGACATTCGGGAGTAAGGGCCGTTCTTGCAGGTATCAAGAAGCGATGGAGTGACTTCAGGACGTGGAGGCGACTGATTACATTACGATTGCGAATACAGTTGCTCTACGCCTTTCTATTTGGTCGCAACATCCACAGCTTCCATTAGCCATCGCGGAGGCTTGCAGCTGAACATAGAAAACAGCTCAAGGTTCTTCACCATGCAGCAAAGACGGTGAATGATTTGCTTTCCAATTCCGCTTGTGCTGCCTCCAGAAAAGCATTTGAAGCTAGTTCCAGAGGGATCGCAAAGTATTTCTGAATGTTTTCTGATGGCAGCTGTTGGCAAGCATAGAGCGATTTATGTACCACGGACGACGGAGGTTTAACCGCGGTGGGTGTTCGTAGACATGATTAAAGGACTTCCGGTGGAGCACCCTGCGGCAACCAAAAAGCCTGCAGTTGGCGACCAACTTCGTCGCTGAGGAAACTTACAATATATTTCCGGTGGTTACTGTGGACTTTGCCCGTCAAGTAGTTTTAAATTCCAGCTACCCTTAGGTCGAAGGCATTCTTGGGTGTAAACACAGTAGGCTCACGCAGAGCAGAGCCGCTAATTTCTACGTGACGCGCTATTTCGTGTGCTCACAGGGTTGCCAGATATGTACTATTCATCCGGGTCAGGGTTCCTGATTCTTCCGTAACCGACACATAGTGTAGACTACGATGGACCCGATGACATGCAACAGAAAACAAAAGGGACGTTGGTGGCCAGAAGTTAAACCCAGCCACCTGGTAAAAAGGAATATGGACGAACAAAGTATGGAGTGTCTGTTAATAAGCTGACGCCAGAAAGTTGCCGAATACCCGAGATGCAACAAGGCGCATGTTGAGCTGTCCGCAATCAAGTTCTCGATAACAGGAAAAGGACGCTGGTTTTCGGGGAGGTTAAAAGAACGTGGTGCGTCGCGTTACTCCAACGATATGTAAGTCACGGTCATCGGTTTGTAGCACGTCAATTTGACGAAGTGAAACAATATTTACTGTAGACAAAAATGTCATGTAAGTAGTTGATGTAGATGTCATTCAACATAGTGTATAAAAATTAGGCTTTTATATTTTGTCGGAGCATTTTTATTCAGAAATACCCACCGTCTTATCAGAGTCTCTCTTTGGAACCCAAAAACTGAAATGTCACTAACAAGTTTGTAACCAAAGACACTGAATAAGTAATAACAACTTTAAAGTGACCTGCATCACAGTTAAGGTAAACTGGTAAACGAACTCCATGATCTCACTAATGTTCGTCAACAAATAAAGGTGTAAAATATGAAATGTCGTTTTCCGTTATTTTTCCGAATTTTCGTCTTGGCCTTACATAAGACGCACAATGGAATCATACCTAATGTAGTCTAACGTTTTCTGCTAATTGTCGTATTTTGCACATGTCTTCCACGGATTGTCGAAAACCTTCATTACCTTTATGCAAAAATACCTCTTGCGACAGCTAATTTGTTTTTAAACTTTTAGTTCCAAGGTGATCTGATGTATCGCCATCTATTTGATTCATGCACAGTCCGACGCTGGAGGAACGCGACATCTTTTGAAAGCTTACCTGCGCTATACCGTTTGGGGCTAAAGCAACCGATCTATGTAGTTGACCTGCCGCTCTACATCAAGTGGCTCAGCTCCAATTTGATGGCGCTAAACCTACCCCATAGCCAGTGCAAGTTTAACGGATATGTCGGCCGAATTAATAGCGCTAGTCAGAACCTTGAAAAATAAAATAAAAAGCCTATCAACTCGCTTTTATTTTATGCCATCAAGTTTGCAACCCACACTGCGCCAATTACAGTTTGCTTCAATTAAATGAGACAGTACATAAGTTTCCCAACAGTATCACTTGCCTGTATTGTGTGTGATGGAGTTGTTGGGGGTTTAACCGAACCATAAACTTCATAGATTACAGGTACGCCTTCTGTCGAACGCCAAAAACAGTGGATTGGAAATGAACATTGCGGAGTAAAAAATGTGATAGGAGTCCATCTGAGAGAACCACAGTTTAACGAGCAGCTCAAAGTGCAGAAGCAGATACTGGAGAATTTTAAACAACAGTAACCACCTATTGTTGGTAGGTTGAAGTTTTAATATTACAAGATCTTACGGGATAGTAAGCGTGAATAACTTCCGGTTTAACCCAACTTTGGATCTCATTTACAAACAGAAACTTATGCATAGAATATACCCTACGTAAGACGGCAAGATGGAGCCACTGGAAACTTTTGTTGGGAACAACAACAGGCTAGTGTGTCTACGGTTGACAAGAGCCAACCTGCTATGAAATATTTTTTCAACGTACCGCGGTACGGCGAGCGGAACGCCATACAACTTCCAAAGCAGCTAGTTTACATTAAGTAAATAACTAAATAAGTTATTCGCGAATTTATCGAGGCACACCAAAAATGCATGATAAGGTCACGAAAGGTTCAGTGTATTCTGCGTGAATAATTTGTACAAACCCAGCCCAAATTGAACTGCTGTGCATTGGACGTACGTCATTTGCGTAGCACTAATAGCAAGCTGTAGAGGCATAACAATGAACAGTGTAGGACTAGTTAATGCCAATCCGAGACGGTGCGCGAAATTAAGCGCGGATATCAGAAGGCAATTGGAGTAGGACACGGCGGACTGCATTCGATGGGCTACAAGAAGACGCGGACGGATGAAGCGAGACAAGAGCGAACAGTGAGCGCGGGAACTTACAAGGCAGGTGAGTGTTGATACGGTTGTAAGGAACATGAAAACAAGAAGGTATAATGTGCAATCGGTCAACAAGTAAATTGTACGTGAAAGGTAGCAGGTATCTTTTGGGGCGCTACAAAGCTCCCACCTAGAGGGCTGAACATAGAAAGCCTTCGATTTCGAAAAGACTGTTTAATCGAGGTCCGTAAGGTAAAATCTTGTCGAGTAACAATTCGGGCGCATTCGTGTCAAAAGGGGGTTCGCCGGAAGCCGGAGTCCCCTGTACCGTTTTTGATTTGTTATTTATTGATTACAGGGCAGGGGACATTTCGATGAGCCGTTGGAACGGCCATGTCGGACTACAAAAACTGGCTAGCCCAGAAAAAGACCGACAGGATCCCATCCATTGTTGCTGTCAAACGGTGCGTTTGGGAGTGGTCTCTCCCCAAGCCGCACCCCGCCCCGCGCCAAACCGATCCTAGTCCCACGGAGAAACGACCATCGTCTCAGGAAGAAACGACCGTCGCCCCACAGTGAAGTGACCCTAGTCCCGAGAACAAGCGACACTGGTCGCGCGGAGAAGTGACCCTAGTCCTGCGAAGAAACGACCAGCGTCCGTTTCTGGATCCTCGAAACCATTTCTTGTGTGGGCTAGCCGATCGAAGGAAAGGGTTGGGGCATGTAGACACGAAAACATAGAAAATCATATGCAGGAAACGCTAGAAGGAACGAAAGAATAATAATCGTGTTTAATTTTTTGGTTTTCGGATATTTTTAAAGGTCTTTTGGAGGCTTTGATATTTTCATTTGTTTTCAACACGTTGATCGACCAAAAACGGGGAACATAGATACAATATCTACAACAGTAAACGTATTTACGGTGTACATAATCGGAGAAAAGAACCGGTTAACCCACCTCCCGACCACGGCGACTGGCCTTGGATGGTGGCGGGCTAGCTTCGGGAGATCTCTGGATGACTGAAGCTTGCAGACCTTGGTCGCGGTCGGGTCGAACTACAATAGCATGCTGAAAGTTGGTGCGGTGAGTTTTGACGTCGCACGAAGCACTACTAAACGAAGTAGGCAGGGCGGTTTCTTCCATAAACGCGGGCTTTAGAAGATCAATGGTGACGACTTCGCGTCGACCACCCCGGTCAAGAATGTACGTCTTACTTACACCGTGTAGCATTTTAAAAGATCCTATGTACGGTGACTGAAGAGACTGTTAAACACTGGCTGCGCGAAGAAGGATGTGTGAACAAGTACACAGCTTTCCGGCCACTACTCTGGTGTGTTCTGCAATCGAGGAGCGGTAGACGTAGCTCATGCATCTGCT